TTACTAACTGCATCAAATCATTTACATAATTAAAGCTGAGGTGAACAAAAAGTACTACTATGTATGTGTAGTGATATATATAAATCATGCATTTGAAACCCAAAAAACACTTAAAAATGTATCATACAACAAAATAAAAAAGTCATTGTATCAAATTAGACATATCCTAGTCATTCTATCAAATCAAAAATAACTATTGTATCTCTTTCTTTTGCAGTATTTGACTAGGAAAACAATATGCTTAATTAGCCATTACAGAGATTTCAACCAATTACTTGGCTAAACTCTAGTTGGTATATATATAACCTCTATCACCTATATTTATATGCCGTTTAGCTTGTAGTTAGTAAGGTGCATGTTCTTTAAGCTTGGAATGTTAAAAAGTTAGGATGTTAGGTTGAAATTCGCATTTCCAAACGGTTAATTGAGAGAATAAAACATCTACCTAGCTTAAATGGCTAGTGCTTTCTCTAAATAACTTTAATGGCTAAAGAGGCTTCCTCACAAATTGCTGGGGTTTACTTTCAAACTGCTTCAAAGATTTTCATTATACATGTAAAAGTAGAAACCAAAAAGAGACAAAGTTAGAGACAAAGTTAATACTAATCTTTTGAAAGGGGAAGAGAATAATCTGAATAAAAGAATATAATTGTTGATTAGGTAATAAAAAAAAGTAAGAAAAAGTATTAAAAAAATGAGCCTTTCATTTGAGAGAAACAAAATGAATGTGGAGAAAATATATTGAAATTAAAAATTTATTATATTTGTCAACCTGCAACTTTTGTGCTTCTTCTTTATAAGTGAGATCGATCATAGAAAATGCAAATTACGAAATATGTAAAAAGTTTTACCAAAATGATATAATCTGTAAATAAAAATAATAAAATAATAAAATAAAAAAGGGAAGAAGAAGACCATGTGAGTAAGTTAACCCATAAAAGTCAGTAAGGTTGAAAGGAAATGTGTTGAGCAAGGAAAAGGCTAGGGGGTCCAACCATTAATTCATAAGAAGAAATATGGGGCGAATGGGCAATGTGAA